GCGCTTGCACCCTGGACACGCCTTGCTAATGTTCTTGACGACCTCCTCGCTCGTCTTCCGGCTGATCCTGAGCGGATGGCTGCTGTCAAACTCAGTGCATGTGTACCCCTCGTGCCAGGGCAGTCGGTGATAGAAACAGCTCCTGATGCCCGCACGCTTTGCAGGTTACCTGCGGCGCTGGCGTTTCCTTCCTGGGCTGGTGGATGTGTCCTGACGAGCAGGTCGGGGAGATGCACCACACCCACCGGGGGTGAGATTCGGCGGCTTTGCGTCTGATGAGTTGGTCGAGTTGTTTCCTGCCGTCTGGGGACAGTTTCGGGAAGAGATCCTCCTTTGTGAGACGCGCGCCGCACTGCGGACAGCTGCAAAGCAGCCAGACTGCTTCTCGGAGCTTCTTCATGTTCGGGCTCCTTGTCGTCGTCGTCGTCGTCGTCCTCCTGCTCCTCCTCCTCCCCTTCGTCCCTGCTGAAAGCACCACCGCTTCCCGGATCTGCAGCGTGATAGTGATGTGCTGGACGATGCACTCGGAGCATGTCAGCGGCTCGTGCGCGCAGCTGTCGAGTTTTGGGAAGCAGGGCTGCTTGCGTCTGGTGAGTTTGATAGACGTGCAGATAATGCACTCTCGTCGTCCTTTCGTTTCGTTTGCAGAAGACGTGCTATTGTCCACTGGACGAGAGACAGCATTTCTGAGCTGGGCAGTATTAGTCTTGGACAGAGGTTTGCTTACTCTGTCTGTGGGCGTTGTCGATCTTGTAGACCTTGTAGGCTTTCGAGAGGACTTTGCCGTTATATCAAATCCCACGGTCCGTTTCCTGGAGCGTAGCTGCATCTTCTTCCTCGCCAATAATCCTGTCCAGGCAATAGCACTCTTTATGGCAGACCAAAGCGGACGAAGCGACCGAAGCGAACGAAACGAAGATCCGGACGAAAGGTCAACTCGGAAGAACTTGTGATTCTCCATCCCAGAAAGAATACTACTGACGAGGATCAATCTTTTCTTTTTCGTCCCAAAAAAAATACGACTAATCAATCAGACAGGAGAGTTTGTTACTTTATAGGCAACCACAGCGGAGTCCGAAAGGGGGAAGATTGCTGTGCTGCCTGAGAAGTATATCAGCGGACTTTCTTCTGTATTTTCTTTTTTGGGTAGTCGATGTCGTAGCGGCCCGGTAAACTGTGGATGATGGTGACATGGTTCGTCAAGACAGAAATTTATTTAATTGCTGAGTTGAGTCGAGGACGTCAGTCAGTCGGAGCAGTTGATTCTATTTTATTTACCTTGATTTCGCAGCTTTCATCGTTCTTCCTGCATTGAAGGGCAGAAAGTTCAGGCATGGCAACGAAGACATCCTGGCAGCAGCTGTGCAGAGGTTCACCTCCTCAGCTAGGCAAATAGTTAGTTACTAATTAGTCTCTGAACTATCGACTTTGTACCTCGGTACATAAATAATGTCTGTTCCTAGGTACACGTACTCTATCTATATAGTTACCTAATTGTTCTTGTACGTCCAGACTAGGCTACAGCCAATCACGATCGAATTGCGATTTCGGCGAAACCTGCGACGTCGGCGTTGACTACCTAGACCTAAGATCTAAAAAACTTGAGCTTGAGCTTTTTAATATGAAGGATAAGGGAATGAAACTCGTCGTGTGTTTATTGTTCTTTGGATTGGTATTCATCAATATATAGTAATTATCAGGCGTTGCTGAGGTGAGTTTCCTTTTTTTTTGGTGACTTTGATCTCATCTGGGAAGATTGATGTCTAGAGTAGATAGATAACTGTACGACCTGGCGACCCCGTTTCTCGATATTGCACATTTCTTCACAGATCTCGAACTCAACTAATTCTTTCTGATAGATACCACATATCACACACTGGCTATTGACTAATTGTTTACTATCGACTGCAAAATGCCCCTGAAATCTCCCGACCAGATCAAAATCTTCACCCCCATCGGCATGCTCGGCTACGGCCTGCGAGAAGACCATCTCTGGACCGCCCTTGACGGCGGCGTCGACGCCATCATCGCCGACAGCGGCTCGACCGACAGCGGTCCCCAGAAGCTCGCCCTCGGCCACACCACCATGCCGCGCGAGGCGTACGAGCGCGATCTGGATCTCCTCCTCGCGGCGTGCCATGTCCACCGCGTGCCGGTCCTCATCGGATCCGCGGGCGGAGACGGCGCCAACGAGCATGTGGATCTGTTTGTTGAGATCATCACCGATCTCATCGCGCGAAAGGGCTATCGATCGATGAAGATCGTCACCATCTACGCCGAGATCGATAAGGACCATGTCCGCTCCAGTCTGGCGCGCGGCGACATTGCGCCCTGCAGCAGGGCAGTGCCGCCGCTGAAGAGCTCCGACGTCGACGACGCCACTCGCATCGTCGCCCAGATGGGTCTGGAGCCGTATGTCCAGGCGATGCGGGATCATCCCGATTTTGATATCATTGTCGGTGGCCGCGCCTATGACCCAGCGCCATACGCTGCATTCTGTGTGTATCACGGCTTCACTGACCTCGGGATCGCGTACCACATGGGCAAGATCATGGAGTGCGGTGCCCTCTGCTCGGCCCCCAAGAGCTCCGCGGCGCTGGCCACGGTGCGCAAAGACAGCTTCGACATCGTCCCGCTCGACCCGGCGTCGCGATGCACCATCACCTCCGTCGCTGCCCATACCCTGTACGAGAAGACCCGGCCAGACATCCTCATCGGCCCCGGAGGCTGCCTCCATCTCGAGGCCGCCACATACGAGCAGTTCCCGGACAACCGAACCGTCCGTGTTCGGGGCGGTCGGTTCGATCCTGCCGAGACCTACACGGTGAAACTCGAGGGAGCTCGCGTGCTCGGCTATCGGGCGACCTTCTTTGGTGGATTCCGCGACCCCATCTTGATATCTCAGATCGACGATTTCCTGACACGAGTGAAGGAGTATGTCAAAAGCTGGGTGTCCTTCCCTTTCGGCCTGGAATTCCACCAGTACGGACGGAACGCCGTCATGGGTCCGCTGGAACCAGAAGCCGACATCCTCCCCAGGGAGGTCGGCATCTGCGGCGAGGTCTGGGCTCCCACGCAGGACCAGGCAACCCACGTCAGCAGCATCGCCCGGCTGGCCTGCATCCATGGGCCGTATCCGCATCAGCTGGCGACGGCCGGGAATTTCGCCCTGCCGTTTCCCCCGTTCGATATCCCCATGGGCGAGGTCTGCGAGTTCTGCATCTACCACGTCCTTCCTGTCGACGATCCTGTGAGGCTTTTCCAGATCAGCCAGCGGACGATTGACGGTGTGGGCAGTTTTGTGTTTAGTCGACCGAAAATCCTCCCACTGAATTCGAAGAAGCCTGATGAAGAGACCAAAAAAGCTGCTTCTGAACCTGCGCAGCAAAAGACAGCACCATCGCAACGACCCTTCCTCAAACCTGACCCCCCACAAGGGTACTCCTATCTCGGCGACATCGCGTCTATGGTCCGCACAAAGAACGCCGGTCCATACGAATTGACGATGGACGTGATGTTCGACGACGACGAGACCTTCCAAACGGTGAAGAAGAGTAACGTTCTCTCCGTGGACGCCATCACGCGACTGTATCACATTCCAGAGGACGACGTCATCGCCTGTCTGTTCTGGGACCAGGCGCGCGCGTTCAAGGCCACCATCAAACGGCCGAATGTGTCTGGTCAGTTTGGCGATGTGGACATGCATGGCTCCCAGCAGCATGTGCCGTTGATGTATCTCCAAGTGCCGGTTTCGAGGGATTGGATTCGAGGGCGTGTTCGGGCTTGAGTCTGCCTGAAAAGATTCAACAGCTAAGGAGTTTGCGTGGCACCTCGTTTTTTTCTTTTTCTTTTTTTCTTTTCTTGCTGAATGGAAATTATAACGCATCTTCATTAATTGAGACAGACGGGTATTTGATATGTAATTATGGATAGTGCAGAACGTGCAATTTACACTCCCATCCCGAAATCTGACATATTGGAGTTCAGACCTTCGAAGAACGAGGTCCAATTGTCTTCATCCCCAAGAGCCAGAGAACCCTGGTTATTTCGTTCTGTCATTGCTCTCTCGACGGCCGCTGCCGAGGTATAGTCCTTCGGCCGTTGAGCCTTGACGGACTGGCTGAACCGGTCGCGAGCACGGCACACAGCGTCCATGATGAGGTTTGCCGTCATCCGCGAACGAACCTTGAGCGACGCTTGATCTTTGTCATTCCCGCGACTGCGACTCAGATACTCGATGATGGCGCACACTCTAGCGATGTGGTCGTCTTCGACCCGTGACAGTCCCCGCAGCAGCTCCCAGATCTTGTGGATCATGTCTCTGGCCTGGGTGGTGTCGACGAATTCGTAGTCGCCCCCGACAAGCTTTAGAAGGAAGAAGACGGCATCGACGAGGTCTCTGCCTCGGTAGATCGACCAGTAGCGGAGTTCCGCGACCGAGTCAACGGCTGACTGTAGCAGGCTCATCGCGGCGAGATAAGCGTGAACGAGAAATTCGGAGTGCAGCCCACCGGTGGGACTACCATCAGCGCCTGTCATGGCGGGATCCGTCAGAGCAAATGTGTACAGGTGCAGCTTGGTCGCAAGAAAGAACATATAGTCACTCCGCGACCAGGTTGATGCAAGCTGAGCTTCGTGCGTTCGCAGCTCTACATCAAACATCTGGATCAGTGTTGCTGGATTGGGCAATAGTCCAGTGCTTGACAGCTCATGATTGCCAAGGATACTGCAAAACTTGCCACTCAGATGGGCCATTTGCAGTTGATGGTAGAGCGCGTCGGGCAGCCACGACGGTTTGGAGGCGAGAGTCTCGAGGACACTGTGATCGGCCCTCAATAGGCTTGGGAGGCCGTGTAAAATACTCGACCTGGTTGTATTTCATCAGTGTGAATTGAGAATTTAGTACAAAACTGACGTACCTCTGACTCACTATAAAACATGCTAGCCACGTCTTTTTCCGCTCTCTCATCGTTGCTTCGTCGAAGTCAGCTTCGTACACAAAGTCTGATACGTGATGCGGTCGATGCAGACCCTGGCGAAGGGCGTAGGTAACGGCAAGTCCGCAATATGTCGACGAATTGTCGTGGATCGTAGCGCCGTAAGGAGGTGGCCAGTTGCAGAGGAGCAACAGAGCCTGGATCAGCTGCAATGTTTGCTCGGCAGGCGGCGAGATGGACGACGCCAGTGATGTGACCACGCTCGTCACTGCCGGAAAGAGATGCTTATGCTGAGGAGCTTCTTTGGAGGCGATCATCATCACCGTCCAGAAGAGAAGGGGACAGGTATCGTAGTTATCCAGCACAGTGGGGGATTCAGAAAGGATTGGGAATTGGTCATGATAGTGCAGATAATACCTTGGAGAAAGTAAGCGATGGAATTTTTGAGCTATGTGATAGGGGCACTTGCTCTTTTAGCAAGTCGGAGACAGTGCTCGAGTCCAGCTCGACACCTCCCAGTGCTTTAGGAAACGTGTGACTGCTACTTTCTGTGACAGCCTGAGCGAGCTGCGGTGGCTCGGAGCCTTCGACAGGCGAGGGTGTTTCTGAACGAGACACATCCACAGGCTGCAGGTTATTCGTTTCCGAAGTAGACTTGAGACGCTTTTTTATCTCTTTCAATTCCTTTTCCAGAGAAGCCAAGCGCCTGCATTGGTCAGCTGTTTTGGTGCTATGCATCCTATATTAGCGTGCATACTCTCTCTTTGCTACTCGTTTGAATGAAGGGTCGACTGAGCAGTGCAATCCTTTTCTCTGGCATCGCGAGCATGAGGAGGGAAACCGTTGAGGGGCATCACATCCCAGCTGTGAAGAGTTCTAGTTAGCCAAGTGAACCCTCGTTCTCGAGGACTGCATGAACCTTCATCTGTCGACAACGGACACAAGCCACTGCTTTCTTCCGCTGCCCCATGTTCATTCAGGAGTCTTGAAAAGATAAATAATCATGTAGATAAAGGAAATATTCTCCAGAAATGATCTCTTCTGGAATCAGCATCGGCATGAAAATAAAAAGGACTGGAGAATTTGAGAGACGATGTCGTCGGGTAAGAAATACATCCGGATTAGTCCAAGCACGTGACGGGTAATATTCAGGACGATATTCTTACTTTGATCAGGTCCATCTTATCTTTTGCGAGCTAAACGTCAATTAATGTCAATTAGAAAGCCAAATATGAAGAATTGTAAATTCGATATCCTTTCGATGTGGTTTATGTGTACATGTGAATACGACGCTTCCCTAGTCACAGATATATATATATTTATTCTTGGAAATAGAAGTTCATACCGGTACAATGAAGCGGTCAACGTGCAAGTGTTCAAACACCTCAGCCCAAGTATGAAAAATGCCTTTCTCGAGAAGTAATACCACATTTATAGCCACTCCACCTCGAGATGAAGACAGACCGGTGTAGGGATAAATAGTATAAATATGCTGCCATATAAGTAACAGTGTGGCATATACCAATATTTTGTCGAATTAAGGCCTGCTACTGTTTCTTGCTGCACTCACACACTTTACGGAGTAACTACCTCAAATCGATGGGATTTGGTGAGAAAAATCAGTATTTTGGTGGTTTGGAGGGCTTCCGATACAAAAGTTGCAATTTTTTGAGGTTTTGGGGTGCCAAGACTGCACCAAATTTTGCATACGCTAAATACAGACTACTTCGATACTATACTACTACCGAGACAGACGCACAGCAACCACATCCAGTTCTTCATTAAAGAAAGAAACTGTCAAAAATGGCCACCAACAAAACCGTCCTCCTGGTAATGGACCTTCAACAAGGCATCGTCAGCCTCTTCCCCAACTCAGGAGAATACATCGCCCGCGTGGCCAAGGCCATCCACGCCGCGCGCGCCAAGGACATCCCCATCATCTACGTGACGGTGAACTTCCGCCAGGGATACCCGGAGGTGTCTCGGCGCAACAAGGCGTTTTCGACCGTGCTAGCCAACAGCGGTAACGCTTTCGAGGAAGGTAACTCCGCCGTGCACATCGTCGATGACATCGCCCCCATGGCCGGAAAGGATATCCTCGTGACGAAGCGGCGTGTCTCGGCCTTCGCGGGCAGCGATCTGGACGTTGTCCTGCGCAGTCTGGGCGCAGAGACCCTCGTTCTCACTGGCGTGGCGACTTCGGGCGTCGTGCTCTCGACGCTCCGCCAGGCGGCTGATCTGGACTATGCCGTTACTGTCCTGGAGGACCTCTGTATGGATTTGGACCCCGAGGTCCATCGCGTCCTGGTGGAGAAGGTGTTTCCTAGACAGGCGGAGGTGGTGTCGTCTGAGACGTGGATTCAGAGTCTTTAAATAAAATGGATTTGGATTAGAGGATGGGAGCGATATTGTGGTGTTGTTGGCATTGAGGGAATCGTCGTGTGCTGCTGTTCCAGTTATGGGATTTTGATGCAGGAAATCTGTCGAAAGGAAGGCTTGATGCGGTTGAATTGTACTGTACACACCTGCATTGAATGCGTTGGAGATCAGTCTCTGCTCGACAGATCAGCTGACTGTTACCAGATTTCACTCTCAAGCCTGTCAGTGCTGATTTGTTTCATTTCTGCAAGTCATCAATAAATTGGATATATTTTCTTTCCCTTTTTGCCTTTTTTTTTTAAAAAAAAAATTCGATGGATGCAATGACAACACTGAACACTGAACTACATACAGTCATGTCAAATAGAAGTACTGAATCATTTTATTTCTGCAGCAAAGTCACTCACTGAATTGTGATATCTGATTCTTTTTTGTTCTCCAGATCGCAGTATATCAACCGGCTAAAACTTCATCGCATGACTGTGGGGCAACCGCGTGTGGGTAACGTGGGAGGACTGTGGGGGGAACAACATTCAGCCAGCTGTTCGTACGGAGTACAGATCTACATCTCGACTCATCGCCAATAAAAACAGCCGAATTAATAATTTGCATCAATGACTATGACAGCATTGTCGATGCTGGTCATGGAGGCGTGTGCAGGACAGAGTAAATACCAAGTGAGATGGACTGCACCGTAAATAAATATACTCCGTCTGTTCTCTGTACTTGTATGCAAGATCTACCTTACAGCGACAGATTCGTCTGTGCATATAATACATCGGATTATATCCGAGTAAAAGCCATCCCATATCCGATTCTGGACCCGACATCTATTACGGTATTACCATCGATTTGCCAGCTTTGTTTTCTTGGCTGGATTCTCGCCGGGAAAGCAATCGCTGCAGGGAAAAGATTTAGTCCGCCTCTCCACATCCATCGTCACGTAGGGCTTCTCCCCGCAGGCGATGGATCAGATGCTCCGTACGGAGGGAGCATTAAATGATGATGGTGACCGAGTTTCTGTTCTTAAATGAGTTGTTTCTTGTTCAATTGACTTGGTCCTTTCCATGAATTGAGTTGTCGTGACTGATTGATTCCGATTGCGGTGTTTCTACAAATCGAGTCTTGATCTAGATAGAGGACCATGGCAAGCACACCTGCGCAAGGCACTGGCGCATACCGCCAGTACCTCCCCGATCTGAGCCAGCCGCGGTTCACGACGATGAAGAATCAGGATGCCCACGAGTACGCCCACGACTTCAAGACCAAGCACGTGCCGCCGTGGCTGTATGCGCTGTACGAGCACTGGCGCGATCTGTATGAAGAACCGTTCCAGGGCATCACCACGGATGGTATTTCTTCATTGTCTTTAATGAAAGAAGAGGACGATGGTTAACGATTACAGGCCACGTCCGTCCCGGTCTCTTCACTCTCCAAGACGAAGAAATCCCCATCGACACCATCGTCGACGCAGCAAAACACCTGCTGGGCATCCTGAACGAGGACCAGCGCAAAGCGCTGTGCTACCACATCGACTCGCCCGAATGGCGGACCTGGTCCAACCCCGAATTCCTGCTCAGCCACAAGGGACTCCGGCTCGACGAGGTCGACACCCCCATCCGTGACGCCATCATGAAAATCCTCCAGGCCACTCTCTCCCCCGAAGGCTACGACAAGGCCGTCAAGGCGATGCGCATCAACCACTTCCTCGGCGAGCTGGTCGAGGCGCCCAAGGTGATGAACGAGTTCTCGTACAACTTCGTGCTCTTCGGACGGCCGTCAACGACGCGGCCCTGGGGGTGGTCCTTCTACGGCCACCATCTCTGTCTGAACGTCTTCCTGTACCAGCGCCAGATCGTCGTCTCGCCGTGGTTCACCGGCGCGGAGCCCAACGAGATCGATGCCGGCCCTTACACCGGCACGCGCATCCTCCAGGTAGAGGAGGCCCTGGGCCTGAAGCTGATGCAGTCGCTGCCGGCGGACGTGCAGAAGAAAGCACGCACCTACGAGCAGATGGTCGACCCGGCCATGCCACCGGGGCGCTGGAACCGGGACGACCAGCGACACCTGTGCGGCGCATACCGCGACAACCGGATAGTGCCATACGAGGGGGTCGTGGTAGCCGAGTTCAGCGAGGAGCAGAAGCAGCTAGTCTACGGCATCTTGGAGCAGTTCCTGCTGTACCTGCCCAAGAAGGCGCGCGACATGAAGCTGGCGCACATCCGGCAGTACGAGAGCGAGACGTACTTCTCGTGGATCGGCGGCTTCTCCGACGACGACCCGTTCTACTACCGGCTTCAGAGCCCCGTCATCCTCGTCGAGTTCGACCACCATTCCGGCGTGTTCCTGACGAATAGCGAGCCGAAGAAGTTCCACATCCACACGTTGCTGCGTACGCCGAATGCGGGTGATTATGGCTATGCGTTAAGGCCGTTGATTCCGCCGGTGGAGAGCACGGTTGGGAAACATATTACGTGGTAGCTCAAACACATCAGTCATATCATGTCATTAAGATATATGTTATGTTATATACTACACTATATATGCCGTTGAAGACTTCCTGCATGTACTGTACAGACTTTATCCCATAACACAAACAGCAGTAGAGGTGAAACAAGAAATCGATCAATGAATGAATGAATCGATATACGAATGATTAGTGGCAATAAGATAGTAGGTAAAAGTAGAGTAGTTAGACAAACGATATTTAAGTGCTCCTCCGTATATTGTCTCCAAACTCGGCCAACTCTACTGCCTGATGCTAGACTTATATAAGTTAAAAGAGTCCTGTTAATTAGCTGTCTAAAATTACTCAAGGAAGCAAAGTAGTAAGAAATCACTAGATTTATATTCTAGATCTATATTAATTATACTATTTATCTGTAGACTATATTATGGTTTCGACTATTTTTTTTATCTCTAAGTATCTGATAATCATTAATCTATCTATATACTTTGATGTTATAGTACATACAAGTCCTTACGAAAAACAAAGTGATGGAGAAGGGACTTTCCCACAATTTGAACAGTATATTCCACCCAAACACTTTTTTATATACATCGCAAGAGATGGTCGATTTTGCTATTTACAACTCATCCTTCTTCTGCGACTGCTGGCGCAGCCGCAACATCGCCACGCCGTGCGCCTTGACAAACGCCTTGACCGTCCCACTCGGCTGGACGCTCCCAACCTTGGTGCCCATCAACGCCTTCGAGTCGGACGGCGGCACCTGCGAGTACACGTGCTTGGCACCCCCGAGGGCGGTCATGTTGATCGGCGCAGCAGGCGCAGCAGAACCGGTCGAGTTGGCGGCGTTGATGATCGCCGCCGCCGTCTCGTTGCTCATCCGGTTCGCCCACAGGTCGTACACGTCCCAGCTCTGCTGTACCTGGCTGGCCGTGCCACCGGGCCCGTCTTCCCAGAAGATGTCCTCCAGCGTCGCGTTCATGGTGCGGTCCTTCGACCCCGCGTTCAGCAGCAGCACCAGCTGGTCGCCTCCTGCCAGGCCGCCGCTGAACAGCTGGATCTCGCCGTACCCGTTGGCGTCCACGTCGTCGACGTAGTACCGCCAGATGCGGTTGACGCTGGAGCCGACCGGGTCCTGCGAGACGGCCAGCACGGCCGGGTTCTGCAGGATGGACAGCGTAGGAGGGTCGATGTTGCTCAGGACGTTGGTCATCAGCAGCGGGGACTTGAAGGCTGCCCAGAGACTCATGTGGGCGACGGCTTCGTCGTCGGTGAGGCCTCCGTTGCCAACCTCTGCAGGCGTGTTAGATCATGTAATAGAATGATAGATAGATGGAGACATACGTAGCATGTCCAGGTCATTCCACGCCCCAGGGAACGCCTTAGACGGATAATACACCGCCTTGTTGATGACGTTCAGGATCGAACACTTGTACCCGGGAGTCTTGCAGTCGAGGCCCTCGAGCTCACTGCACGGACAGTTTGCGTCGTCGCGGTCCCACGTGTTGAGCAGATCGCCCGACGTGCGCCACGAGTTGGCGATGGTCGAGGCAAAGTTCCACGGGCCGTCGACGCCCCAGTTGCAGAGCGAGTAGAGAATCGGGCGGCCTGTCTTGTTGAGGGCTTGGCCCATGGCGTTGTAGCGGTCGTACGAGAGCTTGGGCGTGCCTTCTTGGCCTTGGTTGTAGCAGTTGTCGTATTTGAGGTAGTCGATCTATTTACGTTTTTTTTTAAGTATTTTCTTTGCAGGTTTTATGCCCTTTAGGCGTACTTACCCCCCAACTAGCCCAAAGCGCTGCATCCTTCTCTTCATATCCCAACGACCCAGCATAGCGGGCGCAAGTCATGGTTCCCGCACTGGAATAAATGCCAATCTTCAAGCCCAGCGCATGGATCTTCTCCGCCAGGCCATCGATGCCATTGGGAAACTTGGCTGGATCCGGCACCAGATAGCCAGACGCGTTCCGGCCGGCAGACCAGCAGTCGTCCAGGACGACGTACTCATAGCCGAGATCCTTGAATCCGAGCGAGACGAGCTTTTCGGCCGCGTCTAGGATGACGGTCTCGTTTAGCGAGCATCCGAAGGAGTTCCATGTGTTCTGTTGACTTATGCATGAGCAGGATTATTCAAATTCCAATTGCAACTTTCAAGTTTGGCCATTCAATTGGATATATTCTTACCCATCCCATCTGCGGAGTGATGGCCAGGCCATTGTCCAGCGCCACCACTCCTTTCAAGGCATTGAGCCCGAACAAGAGAAGTGCAGCAGTAGCAATTCTTCTCCCCATGCTGGATTCGACTTGTCGATGCGGAAGAAACGACTGCACGAATCAACCTGGGAAAAGGGAGGCAGGCCGGCGCCCCCGGCCCTTAAAATTCCCCGGACATACTCCGTACGAAGCCATGCGGGGAACGAAAGAAAAAAAAAAGACCAAAACATAGTAATAGGTAAACAGCTCGCCCCGTTTCCTCGACCCAACGTCATCTTGCGCAGGGCCTGCCGGATTAGGCTAAAAGAAGGAGGTATGTACTGTACGATCGGGATGATAGTATCGAGAATTGGACCGGTAATACATAAATGTCGGGGTTTAGCACAGATTGATTGGATAGGAGGAACTAAATCTGGCCGGAGATTCTCCGTCCAGTTGAACTGTCGAACCAGCTCGCGGGCAATAAGCTTAACCCCGCTTTTACTGTACGGACGGAGCAATGCAGAGCACAGACGTTTTAGTCGGGAGCAAGCTGAGCTGTAAGCCTGTATTGTACGGAGGAGGTAAGGAGGATACGTAGTGATTCCGGGTAGACACTCGGCATGCTGCCCGATCAGGTGACCTGACAGCGGTCTGAAATAGGTAGGCCTCAGCTTAGGGCATAGGGCTAGGGCTGGACGTCATCGCAGACCGAGGGTTTCTCCAAAGGATAACAAACAGGGTTGCAATTGGATTTAGTAACAGAATGTTTCCCGAAAGCTAAATCGTCGCGCAGAGGGAATAATACTAGGCACGGCTGATTCGAAGCGCTGAGAACAGAGGGTTCAAATCATGCGGTGGCCAGACCCCAGAGAGGCATAAGGCCGTGGTAAAGCTCCTGCACGAAAAAGACATCGACGGTATCATGACGGCTGTCAAGGCATCTTTGAGCAGTTACATGATAGATTCATATTTCTTTTGCTTCCCTCACTTTCCATACCCAAGTTCATGCTCGTCTGTCTTATCTCAGCAGTCATCATGGAGCTTTGCTACCTCTCATGCCCCACGTCCAAATACCTTTTACAATACTCTGTTCCAGTACTTGGAATGGTACGCTACGTAAATTAGTATTATTGTGTTTTATATATACACATCATACTGCCAACGTAATATACACATATGCTTATTATTAGCCCGCCGCGTAAGTACTCATCTTCCGCAACCGCTCGCCAAACTTCCACAGAAGGATCGGCGCCGGAAACCCGATCCCGATCGAGATAAACCCCAGCAAGCTATTCCCCCAGCCATAGTCCAGCGCCTTGAACATATACGGCGCAAAGAGCGGGAAGCCAAACCCGGCCGCCGACCGCAGCACCACCGCCGCCGCCAGCCCGCTGGCCGCGAATCGAGTGTACGAGTCGACCACGTAGGTCTGAATGCACTGGAACGAGATGATGGTGCCTGCAGCAAAGATGCATGCCCCAATGTTCGGGCCGATCCAGTGCGTCTGGTACTGCGCTGTCCAGCCGTAGATGAACAGCCCAATGGGGTTCAGCACCGCGCCGATGCAGAGCATCGGTGTGCGGAATTCGGGCTTTCCAACCCCGTTGTTCTTCGCTTTCAGCGTCCGGTAGACGCGATCGATCAGCCGCGACGATATCTGCGCTCCGATGAAGAACCCCAGGCCCAGGGAGATGTAGTTCAGTCCGCCGATCCCGACGGATTCGTGGTACCGGTTCGGGCTGGACCAGAGGGTTGGAAAGGACGCCAGCATCAGGTACATGAGTCCGTACATGTACGCCATATACAGGGCCAACACCTGGATGATGGGCTGGGTGAAGAGCAGCCGGAATGGACGGATTAGAGAGGTTCTGAGCACCGAGAAGATGGAGCGATCGGGCGTCTCAAACTCGGTGTGCCAGCTCGGGTCGCCCGTCTCTTTGCGGAGCTTTTCGGCCTTTCTCTTGAGCAAAACAGGCGCATACGTCTCCTGCAGGAGGAAAAAGCCTGCCACCTGGATGACGCCGTCGGCGATCGACGTCGCGTAGAAGACCCATCTCCAAGTTGTGTTCTCGGCGATGAACCCACCGGCAATGGGTCCAACCGCGGGTCCGAGAAGTGGTGCGACACTGTAGATGGCCATGGCTTTCCCTCGTTCTTCTGGTCGGAAGCAGTCGCTCAGCACTCCGCCACCAATCTGAGGCAACCGTCAGCTCATATCATAAAGAGGGACAGAAGAGAAAGAATAAGGGAGGCGATCTACATACAGCTAACGGAGCACTCCCACCCAGACCGGACAGGAACCGGAACGCAATCAGCTGGCCTCTCGTGCGAGCCACGCCGCAGGCGATATTCCAGACAAGATAGAACAGATTAGCAACTTGTAGCACAATCACGCGCCCAAACATCTCCGACAGTGGACCCAGGAATAGCGGTCCAATGGCGTAGGCCAGCACAAAGATGGACAGCGTCATCTCCAATTCGACCTCGTTTTGAATTTTGAGATCAGTCGCGATGGTACTCAGCGCCGGGGCCACCATGGACGAAGAGACCGGCGAGATGAAGGTGAAACAGGAGACGACGAATACGGCTGCCCATCTCTTCCCCATCGACCAGTTCTTTGGATTCTCCACATCGTCTGGTCCCTTCCAGGCAACCTATACCAGAGGTTAGAAACGACAATAGAAGAAGAGGTAGAGCAACAGATTCCTTACCAACTTCGGGTCTCGCTGGGATCGCTGCGATTTCGACGTCTGGCTCTTCTCGAGTTCTGCCGGTTGAGCATTTTCGACATCGTTGTTGGCATCTGCGTGATCTGAGCTCAGAGTGCTGGATGCATTCGTCTCTAGCTCCTCTTCCGGCTCGGGGTAGAAAACCGCCTGATTATCGATGTGCGGCGCAGAATACACCCTCGTTATCGAGGGAGAATCATCCTGCCTCTGGTGAGATCGGGTCGATGGCCTCGACGCGGCGGTGTCAATTTTTTCCAGATCCCTCATAAGCCACTAGTGATTATGATAATAACAATGTCTTCGACTGATATGGCTCATATGAGGTGTTGACCGCTTGTTTGACTTGGGGAGCGCAGGCTCTCTCACAGAATGTGCAGGCAGTCAGATTCAGGGAAAGATCCATTGCCTTTTAAATTGTTGACCGTCCAGACGAGGTCAGCATAACGTGCATAAGACGGGTATAGATGCCGTCAAAGTTTGAATGAAATGCCACTCCGGTAACGGGCCGGCCGTCAGACTGGGGCAGACTCGACAGTGATTGACGTATGTGCCAGAAAATTCTGGCGGCGATTGGACAGATAGTGGCAGAGACGATTCATCTCGACAATCTCCCCGGCTTCTCAAAAGCTCCGCTTATTGTCCGTGCAAAAAGAATTTGGAATGGGGCGATGTGATTTGCTGTTGGCAATCCCTCTCTCGGCTTATCGGCAACGGTCGCGTCACATGCCTCCATTTACCCTATGCCCTATTACCGCTTTCGTCGAAGTTGTGTCAGTCTCAGATCTGCCGCCGCGCTATTTATATCCACCGCTCCACATCTCCCCGTTACCGGCCGGCGAATCCTACCCGCAGGATTCCGCCAAGCGCTTCGTCTGGTTTACTTTTTACCGCATTCGACTTGATCGATACGACGGAGGACGGGCTAGTTCACCGATCATTTCATAGCCAACCAGGCGGCCAGGCCGTCCAGGATTCCCAAGTACCAAATCATAGCAAGTCGGAGAGAAACTGGCGGTGTCAGAGTCGGAGGCGGGCAGGGATTCTGACCAATGGCGGATCATTACCTCAGCCACTCCACTAAAACCCACGTGACGTGGGAGCTAAACCGCATATGGAGACGCTTAGTAAGCATTCACAGATGTTAGTTAACTAAGCCAGCTGCATCCCTGCCGTATTAGGTTTAGCTTAGATTGACCACGTGACTTGGAGAATGTCTGGTCTGAGGGAACTAAGAAGAACAGGCTTGGGCTGGAACTCTATAATATGGCAATTTGGCAAGAAAATCGACGGATTGCAAATCACAGGAGGTAGGAGATCGAGTAAGGAGCGGTGTGTGTTTTCGAAGTTCTGCTGAGTAGTCGTGCTATGATAAGGACTAGTCACATGACGTGTGCGCTAAGCCGCTTTCAGCTGAGGCAACTCTGAGTCGCGAATCGTGACTCACGATCCGTCGGACATAGGTCGGCCCGCCACCCCACGACAACACACCGAAAAGCAGCGATGCCCCTCAGTTCGCATGCCACGCCACCATCCCTCTATCTTCAGACATTCAGACCAGGCTCACTGCGAAACAGACATGACTTCGGCAGCAGAGACCGTCCAGTTGCCTGAACGGCCAAAAGGGCCGAATCCTTCGGAGGGAAAAGAGGCAAAAACGAAAGAGAAACCTCCGAAGAACAACAACAAGGGAGCTGCTAAGCCGCCCAAAAATTCTAACGATGATGCCACAACTGATGATCCGGACGCCATGTTCAAACTGGGCTTCCTCGCGGATGTTTATGCAGAGAGACCACTTTCCGAAAAAATTCCAAAAATCAGGACTCGCTTCCCCCCAGAGCCCAACGGATTCCTGCACATCGGTCACAGCAAAGCGATCGCCGTGAATTTTGGATTTGCGCGGTATCATGGAGGCGAATGTATCCTTCGCTTTGATGATACGAATCCCGAAGGCGAGGAGGAAATATATTACCGTGGCATTGAAGACATCATCAACTGGCTAGGGTTTAAGCCTGTTCGTGTCACAAACGCTAGCGATAACTTTGAGCGCCTTTATGAGCTCGCCCTAGAGCTTATCCGACGGGACGCTGCCTACGTTTGCCATTGTACCAAGGCTGAGATGAAAGCCCAGCGTGGTGAGGCTGACGGGGAGCGGGGGAAAGCAAGATACGCCTGCGTCCATCGATCGCGCCCCATCGAGGAATCTCTACGGGAGTTTAAAGCCATGAGGGAAGGCAAATACAAAACTGGAGAGGCTTCGCTCAGAATGAAAATGAACCTGGAGGATCCCAATCCGCAGATGTGGGATATCGTTGCCTGGCGTATCTTGGATGTTGACGAGAAGCCTCACTATCGCACTGGTGGCCAGTGGAAGATACTCCCAACCTACGACTTCGCCCATCCCCTGTGTGACAGTATAGAGGAGATCACTCATTCGCTTTGTACGGTGGAGTTTGAAAATTCGCGGGCTTCCTATGAGTGGCTCTGTGATAAGCTTGATGTCTACAAGCCAATGCAGAGAGAGTACGGTCGATTAAATATCACTGGGACAGTTCTCTCAAAGCGCAAGATTGTTGAGCTGGTCAAGAGGGGCTACGTGCGGGGCTGGGAGGATCCACGACTCTACACACTGATAGCTTTGCGTAGGCGAGGAGTGCCTCCAGGGGCCATCCTTTCCTTCGTGAACAATCTAGGTGTTACCAAGGCCAACGCTATCGTCCAGGTGACGAAGTTTGAGCAGATTGTTCGTCAGTATCTGGAGACGACTGTGCCACGTCTGATGGTGGTTCTGGAGCCACTCAAAGTGATCATCGATGACCTGCCAGACGGCTATGAGGAGATGGTCGAGGTTCCATTCTCAAAAGATCCATCTTTTGGCACGCACCGGGTACCTTTCAGCAAGGTCGTCTATATCGAGCGCTCTGACTTCCGAGAGCAAGACGCGCCAGACTATTTCCGTCTTGCGCCTGGCAAGACCGTCGGCCTTTTGAAGGTGCCTTTCCCTATCACTGCAACGTCCTTTGAGAAGGACCCTCAGACTGGCGAGGTGACCTGTGTCCACGCCAAATACGAGAAGCCAGAAGATGGATCGTCGACTCCTCTGAAGAAGGCCAAGACTTACATCCACTGGGTCGGTGAATCTGCTGCACACAACAGCCCCATCAAGGCCGAAGTCCGCGCCTTCAATCCCCTGTTCAAATCCGACGATCCGAACGCACACCCAGACGGATTCCTGGCAGACATCAACCCGGATTCTGAGCAGATTTATCCAAATGCGTATATCGAGACGGGCTTCCGCGAGGTGTCTAAGTCTGCTCCATGGCCGAAAGAGAGCGGAGGCGAGTCCAGCACTGAGATAAGTCCATACTCGATTCGGTTCCAGGGAATGCGGGTGGCGTACTTTGCGGTGGACCAGGACTCGACTCCTGAGAAGGTGGTTCTGAATCGGATTGTGACGTTGAAAGATACGCGGGGGAAGACGTAACCTGTAGTCAAGACAAATAAGCTGTTTCTTATTTGATATTTCTTATTGTCCCTCGCGGCGTTGTATACGTTCAATCAATATGACTATGGTACATGCAATACGAAGCATTCAAGAGCGTGTTAATAATGAAACGTCATTAGAAGGACGCATGATCACTTCTTCCTAACGGTTTTATTTCTTCTACTCTCAGAGTAATTTGCCTTACTCTGATCTCTTATGGTTTTTAATGATACTATATGTTATAACATATACCAGAGGTGACTGACTAGCCATCTTCGGCGTATGTACATGTACATAGACGTAGTAGTTGTATGATTGCGTTTCCCTGCACTGAGGCAAAAAAAGACTTGGACCCGCGTAACGCGTTGATTCTGTCCTGATGTCTCTCTGAGTCGATGATGTGTCGTCATATGACTCTTCAATTACAATAAATGGAAAGGGGGTATGGACATGTACAGTACAGTACAGTAGAGTACATACAGGACATACCTCTCTCTTTCCATTCATTCATTAGAATATTCATTCATTCATTCATTCATTAATTGATATTCATTCTACAGCTGTAATTCAATTCATTCTTCTCAGTCAGAACTCAGAAGAAAACCCCAACCCTAACTAACTCTGTGAAAAGAAAGAAAAGAAAGAATCGCAAACGGTATTCTAATTAATTACATTTCCTCTCTACAGAGGACGAAAAAAAGAAGAGAGAGAGAGAGAGAGAGAAAGATAAGGGAACTAGTTATGTATAATGAAGTATACATACGTACGTATTAAGGAATTTCAAAAGATAGGTTACGAGAGCTGATCAATCAGATCAGATTCGTTTCGCACAGAATGGAATGGAATCGAAGTATCGTATTTCTATTTCTATTTCTATTCCCATTCCTAGTTAGGGCAACTCTGCAGATATGACTTAAGTACGTATGTATTGATGTTTGTACACCTACCTCATAAGTAAGGAATGAGTATCTACGGGTTATTATATCAATACCTACATACTTAGAATATAGGCCTCGAATACGATAATAGTATAGTCCGTATAGTCTGGTATGGTCCTGCAGCTGACCTAGGTATCTACATACATACTTACTTACTTGCCTAATAAGTATTTATTCATTTACCCATCCTGAGTCTGACTACTGACTATAAGTCTCCTCCATCCTCCTCCACGCCTCCTCCGCCATCTCGCTCGTCTCCCTCCACACATCTCCCCTTCGAGAAATCCCCTCCAACCTCTCCTTCCAGACACACCATATCTTGCCAGCCTCCTCCGATGATCGATAAGGATCATTCCTTTCCCCCTCCCACAGCTCTTTTCCCGCGATGAGGATCCATACTGCTGCTGCGGGGACATAGGCATCTAGCTGCGTCGTAGACCTGGTCCATCGTCTTCGTCCTCGCCCTCGGGCAGCCTTGTCTGTGTCTGTGCCCGTGCCTGTGCCTAGCGCGCCTTGCATTCACATACCTCCCATGGACCCAGAGCAGGGGGGCAACATCCTCTTTCACAAGACGCGCAACGAAAGCATTAACATTCGTCCAAGCGTGGATCTCTGGCAGAGGAATCTCGCCATCGTCGTCATCGCACCTTGGCGCATCATTCCAGCATTCCCTCGCCTCGGGGCCGAGAAGAAGCAACTCACTCCAAAGAGTACCCGAAGACCAGATCCAACTTTCCGGCGGTGAAGGTGGTGCTGGAGGATCAGGGTGGTCTTTCAGTGCCCGGACCAGCTCAACGAGCTTGTTCTGTCTTTCTCAAGAGAACCGCTCATTGTACGCCTGTACAGTCGCATATGTCGCCCCGGCAGGATCGCCGCGAAACCAGCCGTACTCCGCGGCAAGGGCATCGATCTGCTCGGGCTCGTGGGGCGTGTTTTGGAGAATGGTTTGGATGGCGCGTTGGCGGTGGGTGGGAACCTTCCCAGAGTAGGATTCCCCGTCGTCGGGCTCGATGGTTATATGGCCTAGTTCGGTGGTAAAGACGTTGTCGTTATTATTGTCATTATTGCTGTTATTATTGTTGTTATTATCGGTGGGGTTTGAGGACATGTTGATTGAGTATGTTATCTCTATCAGCTATCAGTATTGTTTACTTTGGGCAGGTAATTTAGTGAGAGTGGTCAGTCAAGCTCAGTTTTTGGCCCCACCAACCCAACTAGTATATTATTAACTAGCGTAGTAGTAGTAGCTATATCTAACTACTGCAAGAGGCCCTGTCTGACCCCACTTTCCAGCTAGCTACCTAGCTACCTAGGTAGGTATGTATCAGCTTGGTTTTTTCTTTTTCACTGATGTTACTTTACTACATGTACATACTACTGCATCTACTGTACATACATAGGCATGGAGTACTGCCTCCTTAGGCAAACGGTGTTATTATCTACTTTATTCTATTATTAGGGGAGTTTAGTTTCCCTATAAGATGTGTATATACCAAAGTTAGTTAGTTGTCATCCAACTGGTCGCTACTAATCTACTTGGCCTGCATTTGACTTGCAACTATACAAACAAAGTGCTCTCGTATGAACATCAATCATATGGCATTGCCTTGACAAAAAAAATTCATTTAAATATCGTATTATATCGCACTATATCGTACGTACTATAATTATAATTATGGACCAGCATTATACGTCCAATAATACAGACATGAAGTCAATCACTCGTGAAGGGTATACGAGACATCCAACTCGACATCGCAGCAGTACTCCAGCTCAAGTTACAGCTCACGAGGTTACTTCCCCTCCTCGTGCACAACAGTCGTCTTGTCAGTCAGACCCATCTCGGCCGCGAACGTGCTGTGCGGCTTCCACTTGGCCGACGTGATCGGGGTCGCCTCCTCCATCATCTTGTCGACCTGCTCCAGGGTCAAGCCCTTGGTCTCGTAGACGAGGAAGTACGCGTAGAGGAAGCACAGCGCGCACAGGGAGCCCCAGATGAAGAACACCTTGGGGCCGAGGTTGCCCTTGTCTTGGTCCACCATGTAGGGGGTGATGACGGCGATGATCTGGAAGAGTTAGTAGAGAACTTATAAGACTAACTAGATAAAAGGGGCCATACGCAGTTCCACAGCCAGTTGGAGGCGGTCGACAAAGCCACACCGCGCGACCGGATCGGCAGCGGGTAGATCTCACCAATGACGACCCAGGCGCCCGGACCCCAGGTGCTGGCAAAGAAGAAGATGTAGATGCAGATGAACGAGATCATGGCGCTGACGGCCTGGTGGTTCTGGCCGTCCGTGACACCGACAATGGCGACGATGAACTGGCAGATCACCATGCCCAGCGCACCCCAGATCAGCAGCGGGCGACGGCCCATCTTCTCCATGGTCCAGAAGGAGATGGGGGTCGAGCAGACGTTGACGATGGTGGTGATCATGCTGATGAGGAAGGGGTTGGAGATGGTGCCCAGAGCAGTGAAGAAGGAGGTACCGAAGTAGAACACGAAGTTGACACCAGTCCACCTGCAGATACGTTAGAAACAGCTGACCAAAAAAAAAGACAGACAGAGAGAGAGGGAGGGAGGGAGGGAGGGAGGGAGGGACGTACTGCTGCATCATCTGCAGCGAAGTGCCCAGAATCGTCCGGCGCAGGTTGCTGTTCGGCTTGAAGAGGCTCCCGCGGAAGCAGTTCAGCCAGCTGGAGAAGTAGCCGTCCTGCGGGATGAGCTGCATCTCGTACTCGTGGTTGGCCACAATCTCCGCCAGTTCCTGCTGGATGTACTCCGAGTCCTGCGGCTGACCACGCACGCGCGACAGCACCTCGGCCGCCTTGTCCAGCTTGCCCTTCTTGACAAAGTAACGCGGCGACTCGGGCAGCAGGAACAGCCCCACGCCCAGGATGAGGGCCCAGGCCAGCTGGATGCCGATGGGGATGCGGTAGGAGCCCGAGTCGTTGCGGTTCTCGGTGGCATAGTCGACGCACGAGGCCAGCATCAGGCCGATGGTGATGCAGAACTGGTAACCCGAGACGATGGCGCCACGCACCTTGCGGGGCGCAATCTCGGACATGTACAGGATGATGATGGCGGACACGAAGCCGACACCGAACCCGGCGATCAGGCGGCCAGCGACCAGCAGCTGATAGGCGGAAGAGGCGGTCTGCAGGGCGACACCGACGGCGAAGACCATACAGCCAGTGATGATGGTGGTGCGGCGACCGAACCAGTCGGCCAGGTCACCAGCAATCAGGGCACCAAAGAAGGTACCGGCGGACAGGATGGAGACGATGAGCGACTTCTGCCACGAGGGCACAACGAAGTCCTTGGCCGGGGTGGTGGCCTTGTCCAGGTGCTCGAAGCGCTCGATGAAGTAGTCCATGGCCAGCACACCGTTGATGTAACCCGAGTCGTAACCAAAGTAGATACCGCCAAAGGCCGCAAAGGCACACATGAGATAGGCCTTGGCAGTGACGGGCGCCTCGACGCGCTCCGTGTCGGCCGTGGCCGCGAGCTGTTCCCGATCGCGGGCCATGATGGAGGAGAAGGACAAGTCAGGCCAAGAAAGACAAACTAAAAGAGGATCACCTCACTTCGACGAGTGAAGCACCGGACGAGACGGACAGCGCAAGGAAGATCATGACTGGGAGGGGGCGGGGAGGGATTAATATATGTGGATTCGGACGTCGCACGACATGGTCCCAGGTCCCCTAGGGAAAAAAAAATGACTTTTTTTTCTTTTTTCGGCGGCCCCGCGTCTTTGAACCAGACTCCGTATTTCCGTCCCCGGGGGGCGCCATGGCGGCGACCTTGGCTTCTGGGGGGGGCGAGTCGAGCGAGTGGCCGCGAAGGGAAAGCGAACGCTGGATGAGTCGATTCCCAGCAGCCGGGGCGGGCCAATCAGGCGCGCGGAAGGCGGGCTAGCGGCGTGCGCTAGCCTCGTTCCTGGCGGGCAGCGGTGGCAACGGCCTGTTTCAAACAAACGAGAACGCTGTTTGCGGGCGGATGTTTGATGAGATGCGGGCTGGCGGTCGATCGAGTCGATCGAGACAAACGCTGGCTGCGTCTGAGAAGCGTCTCGCATTGTGGTGGCAGTTGTCCGACGTGATCGGTCATGTCGACGATCAGAACGGCCAAACAGATGCTCGGGTGCCGCCCGGGGGTGGATCGGGCAGACCGCAGGCCGAGCGCAGAAGGAAGCTGCGACCTGCAGGCTGCACCGTGCCAGCAGGAACAGCAGGCGCGACCGGGGCCG